TTGCGTTCAGAAGACAAACTTAGCTATTAAAAGACTGCATACTGCTTCAAAAGACTAAATATTGCTTCCAGAAGACTAAATATTCCTTTCAGAAGGCAAACTTGGCTGCCAAAAGACTAGATACTGCTTCTAAAGACTAAAACATTGCTTCCAGTAGATTAAAACTAATACCAAAAGATTAACTACTGCTTTTAGAAGACTAAATATTCAATAAGCGAGCAAGTAAGTATTGTAAAAAAGCTTCCAAGAGTAATTTTACTTGAGAGAAAGAAACATAACCTCAATTCAGTTGATAGTTAATTTTTAGTTGCTCATAATTCTTTTAAAACTGTTAATATCCGTTGTAAACCATCCAAATCGGGAAGATCAATGTCAGTTATATCTAATTAATTAGATTTTGAAAGATTTTGACATTGAAAATTGGATTTAGAATTTGTAAAATTCTTTTTTGGTTGGAAAACTTTCAAACCTGCAATGGACAGCTGAAATAAAAAAGTATACGCTTCAAATACGAAGTTTCATTCAGATTAGTGAAGAATTAAAGAAGATATGAATAAAATAAGTTAGACTGGGATTTTTTTGACATCTGTCATTATTGCTGTTAACGAATTTAAAAACAGAAATCTGTAATTTTAACTTCCGTTTTCTTGGATTTTTCATCTTCATTAGAGCTCTTGTTTCACCTCTCTCTCCGTTTCCGAATCATCATTGTTATCCACATTCAGTAGTAATTCCTCGAATTTGAACGCTTCGGAAAATGAGATAAAATTAGGGCTTTGATTTTGCAGAGTACACAAGATTACGACCCGAGCAAGTAAGTATTGTAATAAAGCTTCAGAGGCTGGTTTTACCTGAGAGAGAAAGAAACATAACCTCAATTTAGTTGACAGTTAATTTTTAGTTGCTCTTAAAACTGTTAATATCCGTTCTAAACCATCCAAATCGGGAGGATCAATGTCAGTTATATCTACGCTTCAAATACGAAGTTTCATTCAGATTAGTGAAGAATTAAAGAAGATATGAATAAAATAAGTTTTGGAATTTTGATTTTTTTGACATCTGTCATTATTGACGTTAACGAATTTAAAAATAGAAATCTGTAATTTAAACTCCGGTGTTCTTACATTTTTCATCTTCATTACAGTTCTTGTTTCATCTCGAAGGATGGCAGTTCTACCTTTGGTTCAGCAGTTTGTATCACCCCTCTCTCCGTTTCCGAATCATCATTGTTATCCACATTCAGTAATTCCTCGAATTTGGACGCTTCG